TGACTGATTAAGATACAAGTTGTTTCACTTGAGCTGTATGCGGCAATCTTTCCTATCCCTCCTTGTTTCGAGTTGCTTGCTCCTCTGTGACATAAAGAGAAAAGAATGGATACAATGTCAATTGGTAGCCTGTCTTGTCATTTCCTCAGTTTCAATTCCAACACGGTTTACACTTCAGAGCACACGTTAATGTTAATGACTCTACGAAAGCGCGAGTCAAGAGATTCGTCTGAGTCTGTAAATCCCTTCATTCCTCTTGTTGACTGAATGGGCCGCTACTATGTCCGCTGTTCAGAAATGCAAACATGTTTCTCTATTCCAAAACCTGCCTGAGGTCTTCTGGTTTTGATTCACGCATTTTGAACGTGGCAGAGGCCAACGGAACTCGGGCTTTCAGTGATTACTTTGAGATGCATTTGACAGAGAGGAATGCGAGGTGCACTACGACACCGGCAAATAAGGCTTCTCCTAGACTGCGAACCGGGAGGCTTTCGCACGTAAAGCAAATGTCATACTGCTCCGCTACAGAAAGAATGAGGGTACACCAAATGCACTCTCAAAAAGGATGACCATCTGTGCACATTCAGGACCAGGACGGAGAGAAATTTAACAAAGATTCATACCGCAATCAAATAGAATTATCCTTCTTTCCACAACAAAAGCATATATGGGCGACTTCATTCAAAGAAAGGTTTGCTGACAAGAACAGCAAATTCGGATGCTCTGTCCACTTCCATCCAGAAACATATCGCTGCAATAAAGGAGTAGCACTGTTTCTGCCCGGCCTCGAACTAGGGACTTTCCGCATGGAAACGAGGCGCGGATGCTCTGTGCTATCCCACATGGTACGTTGATGTGTAACAAAACGCTTGATTTGGTTACTTGGCACTGATACACAGCTCATCCATATCAAGCTTCAGCATAACAGCCAACACAACAGGCTGCCAGCATAATTGGCAGCGGTGGGATTCGAACCCACGCCTCCGAGGAGACTGGAGCCTAAATCCAGCGCCTTAGACCGCTCGGCCACACTACCACACCGGTAGGGCGCTCCAATATGACTCTTTCTGATGTTGCTACTCCAACACAAAAACAGCGAAGGAACAGGGTAAGTCGTCAAGGATCCCTGTCTTGCTCGCCCATTTTCTTCGCTGCTCGGCAACGCCCAGCTACAATATTATTTTCCCACCAGATGCTGACAGCCCTTCAATCAAAGCGAAAATCAACAGAAAGCTGAACGCATCTTGTGAGACTCAGTTAGGTGACAAATGCAATGTGCATGGGAGAAAGTAAATTCGCTTATGCTTGGATAAAGAAGACATGATGCTCCCCCACATCGTACATTGATTTGAAATGGAGCACTTGACTTTCCTTGCTGCCCACTTAAACACAGCTCATCCATAACAGCCAGCCAGCCCAAGTGGTAGCGGTGGGGCTCTAGCCCTCATTGTCAACTTGATTGGAGCTTGAATCCAGCGCCTTAAACCACTCGGCCATACTACCGCTGCTGCCCCGGCCTCAACTATGACTCTTTATGACGTTGCAACTGCAACACTGCTAAAGCAAAGGCACACAGAAAGGCTTCGAGGATCCCTGACAACAAGGTACAGAGCTGGATGAACACAGCAGGCCAAGCAGCATCATAGGAGCAGAAAGGCTGACGTTTCGGGCCTAGACCCTTCATCAGAAATTTCTGATGATGGGTCGAGGCCCGAAACGTCAGCCTTTCTGCTCCTATGATATGCTTGGCCTGCTGTGTTCATCCAGCTCTGTACCTTGTTGTCTCGGATTCTCCAGCATCTGCAGTTCCTACTATCTTCGAGGATCCCTGTCTTCTTCGTCCATTTTCTGAGCTGCTCAGCAATGCCCAGCTACAATATTATTTTCGCACCAGATGCTGATAGCCATTCAATCAAAGCAAAAATCAACGGAAAGCCGAACGCATGCTCTGAGACTCGGTTAGACAACAAATGTAATGTGGCTGGGAGAAAGTGTACTCGGTAATGCTTGGATAAAGAAAACATGAACTACATGACATTTCTGGAATTTAGATTTTCGCTTTGATAAATGATTTCGCCCTCTGCTCAAAACAGAACAACTTTCGCGTTTACATGTCGCATGAATAATACCGGACTACCCGGAAAATGCAACAAACTGAGCAGCCCGTGTCCCACATGACGCCGTGCAGCATACTTACAATTACAACGCCGGTTTTGAAGAATAAGTGGCTCTAAGATAATCTTCTGTCTGAAAACCTGAGCCAGCATTTGAATCCGAGAATGACAGATCACATTTCGAGGCTGTTCGACTCTGACATCCGAAATAGGGACAACATCACTGTATGAGTGTCACCCAGTTTGCGATCAAGGACTGGAATAGTGGCTGGCTCGTTGGTCTCGAGATATGCTCCTCCCTTAGGGCTCATCCAGATAATGCAAGCGATCTCGGGTTCATAACCCCGGCCGAGCCCTTATTACCTCCAAACATGTCCTTTACTCACTGGTTGGCGTACTCTGAAGGAAAAACTTCAAGCGCATGTGAAAGCGCCACATTCCGAATCGGTGTCAGTCTGAGATGCCCAAAGGGTCTTTACAGTTGATATGCTTTTTCAGAAAACAAAGAATCAACTTTGAAAGAGCACCTGGCCGTGGGCAAACTGGCTTCATCTCTGCTTTGGAAAAGTGCGATCTGAATGCAAAAAATTCTTTCCTAAATCCAATTGCTCTGCTGACTCACTTTCGTCAGTGGCAAGAATTTCTCACTGTCAGCTCAAACAAGCTGTCCATGCCCAACATTATAAACATAAAATGGTAGTTGGAAACTTGGAAAGGAAACAAAACAGAAAACCCAGTCTCCAGCTTCGTGAATCTTTCAAAACTCTTTGTGAAGCAGACTCAGGGGAGAGTGAAGGGTGAAGGGCTTGATTGAGCGGAGCCAGTCACAGCTCTTTTCCCTTCTTTAAGACGCTGGGTCATTGACTCTGATGTTCTCGGTGTCATTGCCTGATCTGAGACATTGAAATAATCAGCATTCTTTGAAATTATCAGGAATTCAAACGGCTTCGCTGCTGCAGCACAATGAGATATTTGGGAAGAGACAAGTGGAAAAGCTCAAAGGAAGATGGCCCGGGGTTCAGGTGAGCTGGTTCACAGTGACACGGATGTCACTGCAGGGGTGTGAGATCAGACAGTTTCCGTGTCTTCACAATGAATGTCACAGACTTTGTTTTGTGAGAGGAAAACTGGCAAAGGACAGTTGTCATACTTGTAAAATTACAATCAATCTGAAATCACAGAATCATATCTTACAGACAATATCCCAGATTCACCATCACCACCCCTGGATGTGTCTTGTTCAACCTTCATGACAGACCCAGCACAGGTGGCCGCACATTGCGACACTGTCAGGGGAAGGTTGACTCAGAGTTCTCAACATGGAGTCCCGATCCCATTAAGTCTCAGGGCATCAGGTTAAACATGGACAAGGAAGCCTCCTGCTGATTGCCGCGTACCGTTCTCACTCGGCTGATGAATCAGCAATCCTTCATGTTGAACAGCACTTGGACGGAACTCTGAGGCCGGTAAGAGCGCAGAATGAACTCTGTATTTGCAATTTCAATGTCCATCGTCCAGAGTGGCTCAGCAGCAGCTGGTCAGGTCCGAAAGGACATAGCTGTTCGACTGGATACGCAGGTGGTGAGAGAACCAAGAAGAGTGAAAACATGCTTCACCTCATCGTCACCAATCTGTCCTCAGCATCACATCTGTCCATGACAGTAACGGCAGGAGGTGACCAGTATGTAATTCTTGTTGGGCCGAAGTCTCGCCTTCACATTGTGGCTACCACTCAATGTCTCATATGGCACTATCACCGTGCTAAATAGGACAGACTGCGAACACATCTAGAACTCAGGTGTGGGCATCTATGAGGAGCTGTGGACGATCAGAAGTAGCAGAATGGGACTTCAAAGAAGCCGCAGTTACTGCCTGTCTCTGTTTTCCTTGATGAGGAAAGAGTCATTATCGAGTTTGGTTGAAACCGAGACCTCCGTAGAGTTCTCATAAATTATGTCTCGGTGTATGGTCGGTTAATTGTTTTCATGTTGAGTTTGAAAGAATATTGGTATAAAATGTCTAAGCCTGAACGGACAGAATATCCACAAACTGTTCGATGATTGGAGAATACTTTCTCACAGCTAATTGACGGGTCGGAAATGTCTGACCAGGAAACTGAAAATTTCAACTCTCAAAATATTTTGGTTAACAGCTGAACGTGTTGACTAAAAACAATACGGAGACTGATGTCAAACAAACCTGTACGATCCCCGAAACCCGGGTGTCAGCGAGTTCAAACGTCATGTTGCAACTACCAAAATGACAGTTTTCCTCTTTCACGTTTACTGTTCCAAAATAAAGGCTGAGGCATTCGTCACGGAGACATAGCTACAGTGTCACCTCAACCACTACAAACACGCCTATGTCACCAGGAACGAGCCATGAAACTGATTCCGCAGTCTGCCTCTAATTTCCTCAGTTTAAATTCAAGTGTGACTTGTGCCTCTCTTCAGGATCACAAAATGGATGGATCGATTGGAGCCTTTGCTGTAATCGGGGTTGATTACATGGGAACATGTTTGCTTTAATACTGGTCGAGTGGATCAAGCGATGAGTTTAGAACTCAAAGAGGGGCATGTTCCATTTAAATAGTTTTGACATCGCTTCTCATCATTTCAGACTTTAACCAACTGCCCACAGAAATCATTATCTAGCTTGATGGGTATCGAACTTTAAGTGAGAAGAAAGGAGGATGCCTCGAGCTTGTTTAATTTTGAGATTTTGTACCGCATGAAATGATTGTGGTTGGCCATCCAAATGCTTCCCGACGCAGGGATGACTGACCCTCAGTGAGGTTTCTTTAATAAACTTTAATAAACTGTCCCCGCGGCTTCTAGCATATGACATGGGCTGTAATGGCCTTCAACGATTGTGACGCAACAATGATGCTGGCTCCTGGAATATGAATATGGATCAGTCGTGGGTCACGTGGTACTGAATCATTCAATGAAATGTAATTCCATCCCCAGGTATTTACATTTCTACATTACCATCTCAGACACTGAAGTTAAGCAATCTTTGGGAATCTATATTACTATTAACGATATTCATGACGTTTTTTCTTGATGAAATTGGAGAAATATTGTGGGGTTTTGGTGACTGGATTTACTGAACGATATTCGGAAAGAGGGACTGGAATCTCATCAAGTGTTTCTTCCCTCTCAGATCCTCTCCCTCTCGTTGTATTTGAAGGAGGTTCGAGAACACGTCCTGGATTCGCCCTGTGACATATAGAATCAATCTCCCCAGTATCCTGCAAATTCTAAACAGGATGTACGAAGACAGGTAGAGGATGAGGAGAGAGAAGTTGAGACAATGAGGTAGAGAAGGGTGAAATGAAGGAGACAGAGCGACAGACAGACAAGCAGAGAGAGAAAGAAGAGAAATGGAGAGAGAGAGAAAGGCGGGGTGGAGTGGGGATGGTTTAAGAGAGAAAGAGCACTATCTTTTGACCTCCTTTGTCAACAATAGTTTAAAATCGTTGCGGTGCAATCACTTCCCTTAACCCTATACAATAGGCTTACAGCATGTGTGACCTTGCGTCGCAAAGGGAGCGCATTTGGCTCCAGATAACAGCGCTCCGTGTTTGAATCATGTCAGGCTTATGCTGCTCATATGCAGGCTAGCTTTCCTGGAATATATGTTAGGCGGTGGCTTTTGGCGATGGAGTGTATGGATCACAAAACTTGTTTCCTATTGCTCTCCAGGTTTTCCATGGGAACAATGTTTCAGGGCTGTGGTGTGCCAATTGTTTGGGTAAATGCTCACTTCCGCTTGTGTGAGAAGTAAAACACAACCTATTCATCATGGGGTTTAAACACACAGTCGCCTCCCCTGGGCAGCCGCTTCATTCAGTTGGCAATGGCGCGGTGTAAATAATATTGTACTGATCTCTAATTACTTAATCTATAGGCACTAAATTTTATTTTTCAATTCATCAGGATTTCCCAGCTCCTCCCTTTGTAGCAGAGTGACAGTGAGTTCAGAAAGAGATGTTTCCAATCAACAGCAGTTCCTTTCCTGCAAGTGCTCACAGGTACAGTGATCTTTAACCAACCGCGGAAGCCAAAGTCCCACAATCTCTCTTCACGTTAACGGTGAATCTGAATGTTATACTCTTATGTCGAGAGCAGGGATACAGAATGAAGATGTTCTGGAAATTCTTTGCTGCTTTGAATCCCAGGAGCAATGTGGAGTGTATTTGCTCTGAGTGAGTCTCAGCTGGCCCGGGGCTACTGATGCCGCTCAGGCAATGGCTTGTTGGCCTCGGGGTATGATTCTCGCTTTGGGGATTATACAGCGCGGATTATGCGAGAGGTACCGGGTTGAACGCCGGGATTTCTGGTCTTCGTGTTGCCAACTCGCACGATCAGCTTTCCGGAAATAAAAGGCCGTGTCCAATGAGGTCGAACTTCCTGAAGTAAGGATGGGGCAGAGGTGCCAATGCAGCGAAGATGGCAAAGGGAAACTTATTGAAAATGAAAACAAGGACCTGAGCACGTTTGTGCACGCAATCTAACATTGAATAAGTCCTCCATAAAAATCTGATGAAGTTGAAACACGTTATTTGCAGTCTGTTAGATGCTGAGGACATCCTGCAGCAATTCCCCACGCTGTTTTGGACAGCAGCGTCCTTCCGTTGACATGGCAAGTTGTGAATAATAAGAGGGTCACGCGACAATAATAAATCAAATCGAGAATCAGTATATCAGAGACAGGATCACAAACAGGCACCATCATTAGGACAGATATCCCCGCTCCTGAATAATACCAGAGAGATACAAGCGACAGAGTTTCGATGGGATCGATGTGCTGATCGGCTCTCTTCTGCACGGGAATGACGACATGAGTGAGAGTTTCACTCGGATTCTCTTAATCTGGGGCTGTTGGTGTCAGATATTAATGCCTGTCCGGCTGCAGCAAACAAACCGACTCTCGCGTTGTATCAGTCTTTTGCAGGATTTCTGTGTGAAGACGAATCTTGAACATCAAACAGGCTGCACAGAAAAAAAAACTCACATTGACTTAACTGAGGGAAATCTCCGGTGTCCGTTTCTCTCTTTCCCACCAGCTCAGCGTTTTTTTCTATCTCGGATAACAAACATTTGGAGGAAGTTCACAATCAAATTTGCCAAGTCCCACCGCATTCAAGTCACTGAACCCCATGTGTTTGGGAAGGAGCAGAAAAGAACATGTGAACTTCCCTCCTCCAGTATTTTTGGCAAGTGGAAGAAAATGGTTTCATAATCCGCCGATGGAGAATGCCCGGTCACAGGGCAGGGGATTAACAATACCATTCCGGGAGCAGAGAGACAGAATGAAAAGATGTTCTTGAAATGGTCATCCGCTTCACACCTGGTTACGTGGCAGAAATGCGGGGGTTTTTCTGGCTCGTTGGTCCAGAAGTATGATTCGCGCCTCGGGGTTTGTGTTTAACCAGCATGTGAGACGTCCCGGATTCAAATGCCGGGCAAGCTCTGCTTGTTTCATTTTAGTTTTCCCAGGTCGCCCGATCAGGTTTTCGAAAAAATAGAGCTGCACGTCATGAGGTTGGACTTCTTGAAACAGGATTAAGCTTCGAGAGCAGCAGTGTCATTGTCGCGAGCGTGGCGACATAGCGAATATTGAAAGTGAAAAGTGCGGGTTTGGGATTTCACCCATGCAATCCGACATTGAATAAATCTGGATTCTTGAAATTATTTGGACGGGAAACGTCAGGAAGCGGAGACACGAAGTGATTGGAGTTAGTGCAGAACAGATTTTTTTAAAAATTCATTATTAGATCGAGGTCGTCACTGGCTAAGCCGTATTTATTGCGCGCCCCTGCCTGCCCAGAGTACAGTTCCGTGTCTAGATTCACATGTAAGATCACAGACCAGGCAAGGATGGCAGTTTCCTTGCCTAAAGGACGTTAATGAACCAGATGGATTTCACTCACAACTGATTCCCACTCATCCCCAGATTCTTAATTGTAGTTTTTTTTTGTCCATTTAACTTCCACCCTTCACGCTGGTGGGGTTCCAACGCAGGACCCCAAAATGTTATCTACGTCTCTGGATTAACATGCCAACATCAATTCCACTAGGCCATCGCCACCCTTGTCTGTAAAGATGTCAGCTATGAAGATAGATTGGAAGGTTGGAGAACAGAAGACTGAAAGCTGGTCTGATTGAAGTTTTCAAAGTTATGAGGGGTCTACACAGAGGCAACAAGGAGGAAATGCTCCCATACATGAAAGGATCCAGAGCGGTTAGCCAGAGGTTTAAAGTCATTTCGAGAAGTAATAAAAGTGATATCCGGAAACATGTTTTCATGCAGCAATAATTGAGTTATTGAAAAACGAATTCGACAGTTAGGTTAAAACTAACAATGTGCAGATTTACAGGGAGAATTCAAGACAATGGTGCTAAAAGATATACCCATTTCCTCATTGTGGAGAACCGGCACAGCTGAGGTGGGCTTCATGGCCTCTGTCTGCGCTGTGACAAGTTTGTAACTCTGAGTGAAATCAGAGTTCGACCAGCACCATGTGGGAAGTTAGTCAAGGGTTATATTGACACAGTCGGGTCACAGCTGTACAACAGAATATTACATGTGTACATTTCACAGCGAGCACCGAGCAGCCGGAATCAATGTGGGGAAACACTGCAGGGTGTCCTGTACATCAGACACAATCCACTTTACCATTCAGGTCCTGCCAGAGTGAGAGAGCCAGAAAAGGTCGATCTATCCATCGTACCTATGTCAGGTCGAGTGGGTACAAAAGATGTGTGAAAGTGGAAATACGTGATAGATTTGTCAGGGTCGGATGTGTTTACTGGAAGCAGCAAGCTGAGGAGATATAAAGTAAACCAACTGAGATCTGACTGCAGGAGCAGCACATACATTGTACAGACAGCTGGAAACATCTGATGTATTGAATTCCTGTTGATGGCAACTTGCTTTCACGAGACCACGCTGCTGTAGAAGGTAGCATGTCACTGCCTCTCAGAGTTGTGATGTAGCGAGGCAAATATTTAGCAGTTCATCAGAGTTACACTGCAGGAAATTCATTTTTCCAAAGTGAGAGGAGTCTTTATGGAACAGAGGTCACACAAGGAACCCTTTCACACAAATAATTACCCTTCATCTCAACGTATTGCTTATCTCCTTAGCACTTTATCTGTCATTGTGCGTGACCCTTACCTTCTGGATGATGTGACGCAGTGGTATTGTGAAACTAGAGTTCGGCTGCAAAAACGCGTTCTCACGCACGCGTTGTCATCCTCAAAACCGATGGAAAACTGACAAAATCATTGGAGGTTTTTTTTGAGCATTGTGAATCACTCCTTAAGGGTCTGCCATTGCAACTACGCTGAGCCATCTCTTAACTTATTTTTTCACTTCATTTCAGCCAGCCCTAACTTCGTACTGATACCATTGCCCTTATTTAGTTTTGAGCGCTCGTCGTAGATCCAAACTGCCTTCCCTCAATGTAGACATGAGATTCAGTCACACTGTGATCACTGCTAAGTAGGGGTTCCTGCACTCTGAGGTCATTAATTACTCCTGTTTCCTTATCGTGATTGCTTCTGGAAAGTACTGTTCTGGTAAATTAATAATTTATCATGACGAAGGAGCAGCGGTCAGAAAGCTTCTGATTTCAAATAAACCTGTTGGACTATACCTCGGTGCTGTGAGACTTCTGACTTTGTCCACGCCAGTCTAATACCGGCAACTCCACATCGTAATCACGAGTGAGATTGTTTAAAATAGGTGGAAAAGTAAGATAAATTGACAGAGTACTTGATGTTAAAACACAGAACGGAATGGTAAAGAGACAACCACGAATGACAGTGTCAGACAACTTTGAATGTCATTGTACACGATTCAGGAAAGCTTACCATTTACAGACAAAGGACAATGAAGAATGTAATTGTTGGGACAACCTTTGCAGGAATCAGATTGTAAAATTTGGATACGAAAGACTTGTTGCACTTGTCTTGGTGTTAATAAGCACAAAAATACAGTTCAGTGCAATGGTGATCTCCTTACTCGGGAAAGGGGATACTTGCCTTCAAGGTCATATCAGGAATGTTCACTGGATTTAGCCCAGAGATGAGAGGACTGTCCTCCAAGAGTAAACAATAAAATCACTGAATGTGCCATGCAATTTAGAATAATGACAGTTGAGGAGAATGTCTCCATTCACAGATTGCTCATTGGTAGAACTCCATACAGGGAAACAAGAAGTGATGCACAAAAGGGACACTAACATAGAAACATTGTACAAAACAAATAGGACAGTTTTGTTTTGAAAAATGTAGATTTCAGAATCACTTTGACCTTTGGTGAAGGAATTTACTGTCCTTATCCAGTCTGCACTGGAAGTGACTGTACCCCAGCAGTTGAATTTCAGTTACGTTTTGAAACAGTTGAGAGTCCGTCAGGTCACGGAGATTGGCCTTACAAGCCTTATAAAAGTAAATCAATAGAGCAAACCTGGCCCCTATAGAGATAATGTTCATCATGCGGTTAGATAATCATTTAGGTTAGTTGAGTTGAAAATTGGAGAAGTCACATTGAATAAACAAAGTATAATCATAGTGCAACTGTAATATCTGTGATTCAGCCTCATTTAGAGCATTGTATGCAATCATGATCCTCATTCTTCAACAAAAATGTAAAGAGTTTAGAAAGGTCCCAGGCGGGTTTACTGGGAAATAGAGACATTAAAAAGGATAGAGACGGGTTTACTGAGACATAAAGTCATTATAAAGAACACAGACGGGGGTATATCGGAATAGTGGAAAGAATGAAGGATTTTATTCATGAAATGTCGGAAATACTGTACCAGAAACAGGGAAAATTGGGATGTAAACTAACGCAGATTTTTCAGATAACGTGAGGATTGAAGCGACTAAATAGGAAGGGAATTCCCTGTTTCGGGTAAATCAACAACCAGATTTAAAACGTGAATGAGAAAGAAAACATTAGAGAAGAGTGTCTTTCGCTCAGAGTGTTACTAATTCC